TCCAGCGTCGCGTGACTTCCGCTGTCGTAACAATAAAATGATGTGTGTTCTTACTGTGTGGAGCCTAACACAATTTTCGACCTTACAATTTTACTGACTTGCACAATACAGTGTACTTGTGTTTTATGTGTGATGTAGTACATTTCAAAATTATTCAAGTGATCAGTTTGTGCACATATAAATATGTAAGTGCACCGTTTTATACAGATAGGTACTATGTGCTTTATTTAGCACATACACATCCTGTGAGTCACCACATAAACTTTGGAATTAGAAATATTTTTTTAAAGATCAAAACCACTTGAAAGTTTTGAGACAGTTTTAAGAAATTCAAGAAATACATAGAAATCCACATATTAAAACTATTACGTTAAATTTAGCACAAGACTAGAAATGTCATAATGAATTATTAGAAAAGTTTACAAAGATGAAATCCTGATTTTTGCGCGCTATCTATCGGCTGATGAACAAGCTACTTCATATTTTTAGTTAATCAAATGTAACCGAATGTTTTAATACTCGTACGGACCTTAATAACAATAGATCATTTTAATTATTATAGGAATGGATTAAGTCTGATATTGAATTGGGAAACAAGGCCAGTGGAAAGGGAATGGTTCCTCTTGGATGCTACAAGTACTTCAGCGAGATGGATTGACATTAATGATATTGTTACGACAGCGGAAGTCACGTGACCCTGGTAACACGTCATGAGTTTCTTGAAGGATCATGACTTTTCCTGGCAACTCTAGTCTTTTCTAGGCGCCCTCTATTTTAGTATATAAGCCCGGCAAATAAAGCAGAGAATGATAGTAGATAGTGAGATATAGAGACAGATAATTGAGTCAAGCGATCGGTAGTGACCGTAAGTGCGTGAATCTTTGTGAATTATAGCGTGTGTTATGTTAAAGGGACTGTGGAAATTCTGTGTATTGCAAAGTTGTATTAAGAAAGAATAAGCTAGTTTTATTTAAAAAAGGATTTGTATCGCTGAAGTTGCCCGGGAAGAATTTATACCGGAAATTAACAAACGACCAGAGACGTAACAATATTTTATTTAGAACTATGTCTACCAATTTCAACCCAGCGATTGATTATGCAAAGTTTGACGCTAAACATGTGCCAAAATACGTAGAATAACGGGACTTAGGCCGTAATATATGTAACTATTTATGAATTTCGATTCTTAATAACAGAAACATACCTAAGTATATAAATACGCACAACAACAAAAACTAAAACAGAATCCACCTGAACATTCTTCAAAAGTAAACGTTCGTTAAGATAAATAACGATCCTAGACATCGACAAAATCAACAATCAGTACAAAATATAAGTTTATCGCCTTCTCTTGATTCGGTTACTAAATTACTAACAATAAAATGAGAAATAATACGAATAATAAATCCAAAAAATTTTAAATTCTATGAAAAACTGCATAAGTACACATACTTTGTAGTAAATTAACGTAAACAAATAAAGAAAACAACAATAGATTGACAAAATATTATTCTGTTATATACATCAAATAGATTATTGTGATTTGGTTTCCACACATTCTTAAATACATTAAAATTAAATCACAACAATTCTGTATCTAATCTTAACTAAAATTAATGCATGGTTTGCCACAAGATATTAACAAAAGTATCAGTACAATTTTGAAAAAAAACAAAAAAACGTCTGTTAAGGATTATCCAAATAAAATGAGCAAAAATAATAAACAATAAAGAAAAATAACTTCTAATTTTCTAAATCTTGCACATTTATATTTTATATTTATATTATATTCCTCCTACTATAAAACAAATTTTCAAAAATGCAAGATGTAATTACAGATAACAAATGGAGTGAAATGATACTGCATTACAATTTTCCATCTTCAAATCTTTATTATGTACTTTAAGTTCGCATAATGGTGATATTATTTGGTTATATAAAATGCAGAACACGAAATGTGGCAAACTTCTCGTACATAAAAAATCAGATGAGTTACAAAAGTATTATTTATACTCAAGATATGTCTGTGAATTTACAAAGTCGGTCTGAATCAGACGCTGACAAGCCGGAGTGTAAAGTTATGTTCATGTTAAGAAATACCTTTGTTCATCATACAGTTTGCATATTGCATTTGCATAACCTCTAGAACTTCTCTATTTATTGCATCTAGTATTTAGCCTCCTCTACTAGGAACTGTCGCTCAAAAGCAAAGCAGAGTAAAAGAAATAGACGATGACATCAAATACATAATGTTACATATCTGCTTGTTTGTTTGTTTGTTTCCGGTAGAAATTCTTTCTGAGGATCTTCAGCGATACAACTCCTTTCTTGATTAAACCAGATTATTCTTCCTCGATACAAACTTTTAGTACACACTAGTTCTAAGTCAGTACGTTTCTCTTCACTTTAACTTAACAACTTTTATAATACAAGCTATAAATCACAGTGATTCACAATCTCTATAACTTCGCTCTCGACGAGTGCAAAGCACACACTTTACGGCTCGCTAGCTCGAAACTAACAGAATCATAAATTACACGGAACTCAAAGTAACTACTGCTCTCTCTTCATTCATCAATTCTTGGCAGCGGGAATGAGTCCTTTTCAGTTATACTGTTAAGAGCCTTGAAGTCCACACAGCAACGTTGAGTCACATCCTTTTTCTGGACTAACATGACGGGAGCTGACCAGGGACTATCTGATTTATCGACTATCACTTCTTTAATTAGACCATCCATGACTTTCTCCATCTCTTGTCGCTTTGCCGGAGCTATTCTCATCGGAGGGATCTTTATTGGAAGGTGATTGCCTGTGTTTATTCTGTGCTCCACAATGTCTTTGCAACCGAGGTCATGATCTCCTTTTGAAAAAGACGTCTGCATAATTCGCCAAAAGTTCCCTAACCTGAGGATCCTGTGATGATGAAAAATGGACTGTGCTCTTCTTATAGAGGTCAGTTAAATGTTCTGGGAGAGGATGTCCTTTCTTTATGGTTGTATTTATTGCCTTAACATTGACTAGCTCTACCTCCTGGCACACACCCAACAATGCCCCTTCCCTAAGTGTCTGCTCACATTTAGAAAAATTAGCCAATGTTATGGGTACTACTTGATGACTTGCTACAAGTGACCTTCCAATCTTCACGTCCGCTGGTCTGGATGGATCTTCCACTGCTTTCACAAGCATCGGGCTTCCTTGGGGATGTTCTTTTATTCTACCCCAAAATATCTTCTCTACCCCAAAGTATATATATTTTTTCAATATATATTAATGAAAGTTATGGTGCACAAATAGTCCATTATATAGCTTTGTGCTTAACGTTAAACAAAAGGGGAAAAAATGTATATAAGGATTTTCATTTATCCTGTGGAGCCATTTCCGTCAGTTTTCGATTGCGAAATGAAAGCTAACTTCAGCCCTGTATTAGTGTTTAAGTAGTGCATAATTAGTTAGTGAATTGTTCCATAGGTTTTTTTTTTTTTTCATTCCTTAAGAAATGTTCACACAAACAATAAGGGAACTTCAGATTAATTTCATAAGGTGAAGTATTTAATTAAAATTATAATTTATTATAGCTTATTGCGTTAAACTATATTTAGAATAAAATTATTTAATTAATATCATGTGTTTTATGCGTTTATGGTTTAGGCCTACATCGTTTGAACTGAACACCTAAGTTCTAAACATTACTGTCATTATGATTAAGAAAACATTAACGATGATTAAGATTAACTATTGTTAGTATTAAAGTAGTATTAGTTGAAAGTGAATTAAGGTGAGCTTTCCAATTGCAGACTTAATCGCGGAAAAATAATTTTGTTGGTGTTATACACAAAAACATACTCGTAAAGCTTAAAGTTAAAAGTACATTTTTTTTTGTACTACTAGTATGAGATGACGAAGAGCATGCTAACAGTGTTAGTAACATTGTTCATAATCTTATGTTGTAGAAAGAAGTGGTTCATACTTACTATTAGATTTAAGGAGTCCAATACCAACTGGTACACCTTGTAAGTTGTACACTATTTCAATCTGGTACTGCAGTACATTGGTAGTAGTAAAACCTTGTAAGGTGTATAGGTAATAAGCTCATTTCCTGCATGCAATATTCCTGAAGTTTGTAATGCTCGTTAAAGCCAAGAAAGTCAGTAGAAACTTGCACTACAGTACACCAGCATATAGCCCATCAAAAATGATGGGGCAAGTACTACCACCCCCACCCTATAGTATACTCTAAGTCTAACCTCACATTGCATAGCTAACTAAAATATATAAATTTTGCAAAACCAAGTTTGACCAGCAAAGAGTCTGAAAAGTGTAGTGGAGACAGTCAAATGTTGGTATATTCCTTTATGAGCCAGTCAAAATTAAGATCATTCATGAAATTAATTCATGGCATATTCATAGGATAATTATTGGTAAAAATCAGTTACATTAACAACGTATCATATATAGAAAAGCCAGTGCATTTTGGTAACACTACATTCCATGACTTTTATGTCATGTCGCTTAGCAACAAAAGTATAACCTAATATTTTTTTTAGTCTGTACAGAAAGTATAAAATGAAATGGAGAGAGAATAAAACTGGAAATATATTTGTTGATTTCTTAATTTAGAATCTCCGTTGATTAAAGAGGTTTGTTTTTTATTAAGAATGTTGGTGATGTAACAGAAAATAGCTTAATTCATAAACAATTTAGGTTTAAAATTTAATCAATATTTTTGCTTTCCTGATAAATTTTATGCACTTGGCTCTAAGCTAGGTGGTTCCACACTGTCTTTACTTTAGGCTTATTATACTAACACTCACTATACTTATAAGGTTTCATGGCCCCATTGCAGCCCTGTCACTAAAATTATAATGGGCAGACAGTAATCAAACTATTCTATCTGAATAAATGCATTTTTGGTTTTATGACTCCAATTTTGAGAAATCAAGCATGATATGATGTGACACACACTGACTTTTATATAGATTAAAATTTTGTTGTATATTTTGCATAAAATTATGAAGTCCTATCAGTAAGATACTTAGCCTCAGTAGTATAATAGTATTCATTTGACGCCTGAAGTGGACCTCCGGGTGGTTGTTAGTAGGACCTTGTATGATTATAGGCTAGATTAAAATGACAGTGTATTAAGATATGCCTAGTATTTTTACTTGCATCTTTATTTTTAGAAAAAATCTTCTTTGAAACTTTAAAATCTAACTACTCAAAATGAAGTATACAATAGAAGTATTATAAGGTTTATGGCTGAAAATGTTAATATCAAGGGTACCTAACTGCTGAAACAGTACATTCAAATTATCACAAGCTTGTGTTATTATGTATTGAATTAGGATACTGCACTTCTAGTTTGAAATCAGTAACTTCTAATATTTTCAAGATTTTGACAAAATAAGAATACAACCGTTTAATGAGTTAACTTGATGAAACATTATTTTTTCCTTACTATTTTCTGATTTCTAGTTTAAGTAAAATACATAAATTCTAGTTAGTATGTTGTATAAAATTATCATCAGTAATTTAGAATTACTTTCTAGTTTCTGATCTCTAGTTACGGTAGTATACTTTTGATCAGAAGTTTTGAAATAATACCCAAGTTATGTGCGAGGCAGCTGAGCAACATACATCTGAAGTGTTACACTAGTAATAATTGTAGCAAATAAAATAATTTTTCATTAAGTGTGGTAGCTTAGTATAGCAAGGAACAGTAAAAAAACAACATTTTTTAAGAATTTTTTTATTCTGTGCATTTTCTTCCAAAAGAACATACACATGCACAATATGCACCAAATAATTTGGCTAATGAATGAAGTCTTCCCTTAGAAATGAGACATTTTTATAAAAAAGAAATGTGATAAGAAGCCTTGCAGGATATTTACAGTTATTTACTGAAAGTTGAGATAATTGTTTTCAAGTTTTCAGGAATATCACTATTGTTAATGTTGTTATATATCTTACAAAAAATAAAGTTTTGTAAGATTTATTGTTATGTTTTACGGTTTTCTATAGAATTGACACATTAGATCATACAATAATGTGTTTCATTGTATAATAGTGTGGTATTTTCAGCAGGGAAGCAAATTAAGCTTACTAACTGTAGGTTCATAAGTTCCAGATTATGGAGTATAATGATCTGTCTGATTTAGTTAAATCTAAAAACATTGAAATCACAACTGATTTAACCCATTCACTCTGGCTGGAATGTATACTTCCCAGTGCTCTCACCCCCTCACACTGTGACTGGGACAAATGTTTCCCATTGCCAAAGCTGTTTATGCCTTCCTCTGCTGGATCCAGGTTCATCATCTTGACTATCTTCAACAGATGGAGAGCTAGCATCCTCTTGTCTCTTCATCATCATGCATTTGAACACCACTCACTCTCACTGTCTTCTAATCTATCTGAGTCAAGCATATTTACATTGTAATTAGGGTTACTATTCGCTACTCTAGCAATGCAAGCATGGCTGTCATGCAGTTGTCATACATTCCACTTTGGTATTTTGTTGGTTACTGAAGGGCTGGGTAGAAAACGTTGAGGGAAACCATATATTAACATTAGGTGGGATGCCAGTAAATAATTTCCAACTTATTTTACTCCCATCACAAATGGCAATTTTGAATGACAATGGGAAACATTTGTCCCAGTCGTAGTGTGAGGGGGTGGGAGCACTGAGAAATATACATCCCAGCCATAGTGAAAGGATTAAGCAAATGCTATATGCAACAAATAAACTCATGTTAACTTGCTCTTAAACTCTTGAAAATAATGCTTAAATTACTATTACAAAAAATCTAAACTTGAACAACAGAAATAAACTAACATTGCAGCTAAAGTTTAAACAAAGCAATTTAACACACTGAAAGTAGAAGTCTAAAATCTGTGTTACACTGGTAATCATATCTTTTAAACATCAAAACTAAATACACAAAGCTGAGCTTGTGCATGAAATCTATTTCACATTTGAGATCTGTGATAACTGAGCTCCGACAAGAAGGATAACTTTCTATTTCTGGTTATCATGTACTATCTTCTTTGCAAGAAAATCTTTAATTGTTAACTGGAAAACCTACATCTTGCATGCTTTCAAAATGGGAAAAGTTAGTGTTACTTAAGTAAATCTTGGAATTCAACCTAAGAACCCTGAAAAGCAATAATTTTGAAAAATTTACATTTTAATTAAGTAGCTGGCAGCATCCCAATATGACAGTAGTTTGGTGTATTTATTTAAGAAAGTATAAATAAATATCACAAGATGTTTAGTGCAAAGGTTTAATAAATATTAAAGGTTTTCTCAAATAGTCAACAAGTGTCACATACTAAATATTATCTACTTTTAGCTATAAGTATTTTGCTATTTTAGGTATGTCTTGTGATCTAATGATTAAATAAAAGCCCTGTTGTGAGCTTCAAGGAGTTAGTTCATTAAATATAACTGAAACTGGTTATTGCTGATTATTACTCAGTATTGTTATTCTTGTAGTTGTTTAAATTCAAAATATTATTGTTTTGGAATTAGTTTTTTCTTCTTTTGTTTTTTTTCCCTAATTCCATTATTTATTGAAATAGTTATTAACATTTATATTTATGTTGTAGTTTTGCTTAACATTAGTATCAAGTCCTGGCTAGACATATATCTATTAACTGTGTTTTTTGTAAGTGATAGGCTTTATATTCCAATTGTTTGACATTTTAATTTTGGATATCTGTGGTTGCCAAAGTTTAATAAATTAATTTTTTTTGTTTGTTTCCATGTTCAACCCTGGTTGTAGCAGCTGTTTGTTTTTAGTTCTTTACAAACAGAGTAACTTAAATATGAGGAATAAAATCAAGTAATAACTAACGCAAGAATGTAGTACATACAAAAAAATCTACATTTATTATTATTTATATATGTGATGGTAGATTAAAAATTTTAATCATATGAATAGATGCAATTTTTAAATCACTAGATAATACCTGGTATGAAGTTTTTTTACCCAAAATATTTTTGTTAAATATATTTATGTGAAGGATTATGTCACTGAGGAAAATATGGCCAACACAATCATGGACCCACAAGTTGTATCGGGCATAAATATTGTATGGGTTAAAAGAAAAATTTCATGATACTTAGTGTTCTATTGTGCTTTCAAAATTACATCTTTCTGTATGTTTGAAGATTTCAGTTTTATATAACCAATATATTTTAGTGACAGTTAAGTTTTTTTTTCATAAATATTTTATCAGTATGGTATTTTTGAGGATTTTTATAATACATGTAGATGTATTTGATTTTTATTGTATTCTTGTAAGTTATTGGGTGCTAAACAGTGTTATTAGTGGAATTTGCTAGTTGATTAATTGTTGGGCTCAATAATCAGCTACATTCAACAAATCAATTATTTGCACATGACACTATAATAGTTGAAATAATAGAAAATGTTATTTACCTGTGCACCACTAACCATTGTTACCTTGCAAGTTGTTACCCTGTAAGTTTCTGCACATGCCACAAGCTTTGAACAAACTCCCACCCCTACACATTTCTACATGTATTGTGCTAGCCTATAATGTTTTCATCATAATAATTAGTCCTCCATCAATAGGAGGGTGAAACAAACTCCATGTCCAGTAATCCCCTTGAGCACTAGCAAATAATAATAGGTTCATTCTTTTATTGACAATGCTTGTGTTCAAACATGTTCCTCCCTGTGCTTTTTGAGTTTCTAATCTCTTTGATCTACTGCCCTTCTTACTTAGTGCTATGTTACTTTATCCTTGTTG